TTAACTCGTTCAGGTTCGACGTGAGCACGCACTCAACCGCAACACTGTACTCTTCCAATCAAAAAACCAACCGCCAGGCACCTTCGGGTTCGACGTGAGCACGCACTTAAACAGCAACACTGTGCTCTTCCAATCAGAAACCAAATTTTTCATAGGGAAAACCAAAAAAAAACATCTGTTGGAAAACTATACGGCCAGACTCCAACAAAGATGGTTTTTTGGGTTTTCCCTAGGAAAAATTGGCTTTTTCCAACAAAAACCAGCTTTTTCCTGGGAAAAAGGTGGGTTTTTTGGCCCAAAACGGCCCAAAACCAACTTCTTCCTAGGAAAAGTTGGTCTTCAGTGGACAAACCAACTTTTGCTTAGGAGAAACTTGGTTTTCGGTGGAACAACTAACTTTTTCCTAGGAAAAAAAGGATTTTGTGCCAAAAAACCAACTTTTTCCAAGTGAAAACAAAAACAAAAAAACATCATTTGGAAAACTATACGGCCAGACTTGAAAAATGTTTTTTTGGTTTTCCCTCGGAAAAGTTGGGTTTCGCGGGAAAAAACACACTTTGGGAAAAAATGGTTTTGGGCCAAAAAACAATTTTTTCCTAGGAAAAAGTTGGTTTTTGGTGGAAAAACCAACTTTTTCCTAGGAGAAAAATGGTTTTCGGCCAAAAAAACCATCTTTTTCGTAGGAGAAAGTTGGTTTTCGGTGGACCAGCTTTTTTCCGATGGAAAACCCAAAAAACCCATCTTTTTGGAGTCTCAAAAGATGGTGTTTTTGTTTTTTTTGTTTTCCCTAGAAAAAATTTATTTTTTTTGGCACAAAACCATTTGTTTCCTAGGAAAAATTTGGTTTTTCCACCGAAAACCAAATTTTCCTAGGAAAAAATTGGTTTTTCCACCGAAAACCAACTTTCTCCTAGGAAAAGTTGGTTTTTCAATCCAAAACCAAGTGTTTCCTTGGAAAAGTTAGTGAAACACCTACATGAGCTTCTTGTTTTACGTGTAGGTGTGTGCATGCTCGGTATGGCCTATGTGCACCTAGCAAAGAGTGTGTATTTCATATGTTGCTTGAGCGTGTTACGAATTAGTGTTGCCAATAAGGTTCCAGTGTCATTACTATTGGGATTCGGTTCCGCTTAGCATTAACACTATACAATTGGTAATAACCAGTACATTATTCGAACCAGTTTTGGGCTACATAGAGAGCTAGTACAGGTTTAACACAGACCCAGGCTATCAGGATTATCACAGCTATCACTACGATTTCTTCTACCGGACTAAGGTTGTAAATTGAATAAGAGAAACATCGGGGTCAAATTATGGGTGGTACTAAGCCTACTATGGATCGCCTTAGGGCTGCTGTCAGGGCGAATATTACGGTAACCATTGACAGAAGGGCGGATGACAAGGATAGGGTCAGGGTTGATGTTGCTTGGCATCAGGAGTCAGTTAGCGCTCCTCGTCATTATGTTGCTATCTAGTACAGGTTTAACCTTAGGGTTAGCATGTGCTTATAGAGAGAAATGTACATACACGCATACAGGCAAGTCCGACCGCAAGTCCGAGAAGATCATATACTACTACCGTGAGAAAGGGGGTGCCACATACAAGATGTTGGGGTAAACAAGCAGATGCTGGCATCATCCCTAATAATCTCTGAGGCCAATGGTCGAGGTTTCTCTTAAAACCATTATTCGGATTGCTGTGGAAGGATGTATCCTGTGCAACACGAAGGTTACCAATGGGAACAGCTTACGGGTAATATTAAGCTTGCAAGTAAGGTCCATCTTGGAGTCAGATCCAATATTCGGGTTGCCAAGGGGACTGCAATATCCTTACTTTCGGGGGGCCAATCAGGCTGATGTATGTTATTGTATTAACCTCCAGG